CCCACGACATAGATGCAACGACCCCAAATTGTGACCCTAACTCAAATTGCTTAATTTTCGAACTAAATGACTATGTGTAGATATACATGTAATTATATATAATTCTAGTTAATAGAAAATTGTTCACAAATGTAAAATAATTTTTTTTTGAGCTTGTGTGTGTATGGATGTATCCAAAAGAGTGTATCATCTAAGTCTATTTCCATCGCAATACATACCGGAGAAAATGTCGTATCACGCACTCGTAACATGTACCAAAATAGCTCATAATTCTGGTAACATTGTTTTGGAGAGGTTCATCTGGATTTGGGATTACGATGTATCGCATGGGCAGATGAGCACTTATCGTCACTTCAAGTCCAACCTCCACCATCATCAATAACAAAAAGAAAGGAGGGGGGGAATAGGATAAAAGAGTGCATGAGTCAAGCAAAATATAGTGTGCAAAAAAAAGACAAAATTATTTGGATTAGTGACTAAATATGTCCACTCGGGTAGTTTCGGATAAAGATTTGGAACAAGGTCATTAGAGTAACTATGCATCATAAAGAGTTTGATCTTGAAGAGAGTAGAGAATTACATAAGCTAGCAGAAAATGATGGTTTGGAGGAAAATATGAGACAAGAAAGATTAAATCTTAGGAATAGATTTGAGGAAGTGATTTTAAAAAGAACTAGTTGGACACAAAAGACGACGAAAATAGCTAAAAGTAGGCAATAACAATCCAGAACATTTTCATGGAGTGAAAATGGTAGAAGGAAGAAAAGAATGAATAATTGGTTGGAAATTGACAATGGAGTGATAATTGAAAGATGGGGAAGTATTGAGTATGAAATTATCACTTTCTTTGTTGAGTTATACTTTTCTCGAGAGGTTCATATGCATATTGGAAGATGTTGAAATATAAATATTTAAGTTATGCTCTCTATAATAGGTTAAACATTTAGAGTAAATGATTGTTTAACATGATATTAACAAGAAGTTTTGTATTCAAATCTCATCGTCACCCTAATAATTAAAAGATTTTCATGTGCTAGGCCCAAAAACTAGTCAACACGTAAGGGGCGTGTTGAAATATAAATATTTAAGTTATACTATTTCTAACAACTTAAGTTTTTAGAGTAGACAGTTGTTTAACAGAGGGTTTGGGTTAGTGTCACATTCATGGAAGAAAAGCAAAGTGATTGGAGAGGTCTTGTGAAGAGGGGAAGTTAAAAGTGCTATTTTTGAATTTAGTAAAGATCAGGCTCGTGATCCGGATAGATTTACAATGACAATTTTTCAGACTGTTGGGATATTGTTAAAAATATTTGATGAGGGTGTTTACAACATTTTTCAAAATGGTACAGTTAATGCAAATACTTATGTCTCTTTCATTTGTATCACTATGTAAAGAGATAAATATTTGAAAATAAAGGAGTTCAGCCCGATCAATTTAATGTCTAGCCTTACAACTACAAGATCCTTGCTAAGTGATGTCTATGAGATGAAGGTTCTTTGTGATACTATCTTGGAGTGTCAAAGGAAGCATATTCTAGATGTCGTTTTGGTGGTTAATGAGGTGGTTGAGGACTATAATCGAAGGGTTGGGATGTACTCCATTTAAGATTGATTTTGGAAATACTTATGACCATATAGATTGGAGTTTTTTTGGATTTTGTTTTGGAACTGAAATATCTTGGATGTAGATGGAGAAAATCGGTAAAAAGTCAACTGCAGTCAAGGGCGGAGCCAGGAGTTCTGTTTAGTGGGGGCAATCTCAAACTCATCATTAAATTAAATCAAAATTATTTAATTATATCATAAATATGTTAATTCATCAATATTTAGTTTTTATTTTAGTGTTTAAAAGTTTAAACTGTAATTTTAAAATTAGAATTTCAAATTTGAAGTCCGATTTTAATTGATTTTTGACGCACGTGCACACACTATAGGAACTAAAAAGAGAGTCGTGAGATTGAATTGTATGAAAGAAGTTTATATATGATTTTTGAAGTCAAAAGAATCCCATTTAATCACTAAAACATATAAATAATACTATTTGGACCTAAAGAATTAAGTTAATTTGATGACCTAACAATGTGGTGGCTAATATAGTCCAATAATATTATTCTAATTACAACTCGTGGACTTCTTAATTGGATCACATCACTTTGAAACATAATTAGGTCAGCAAATTAAGTCAAATTGTAGGTCTCAAAAATATTATTCAAGTATTAAACTACTCCTAGTGTAAGTCCGCCACTGCCTGCAATCGATTAATTTCTCTATAATTCTTAATGAAAAATCAAGGGGGTACATTCAAGACAACTAGAGGTCTTATGTTGGGTGATCGGGATCCCTAAGTTCCTTTTCTTTTTTCATTATTTGTGGTGTGTATTTTTATCTTATGAGGATGATCAAATATTTTTGAATTTTAAGTATATTTTGGATGTTTTTGGTTTGAAAATTAAAAATGGCATGGAGGTTTATGTTGTTATCAATTCTCATCATGATAAGTTTGCAAGCTTGGCTGCAACATTGGGATATTTTGTGGGTAAGTGACCTTTGAGGTACTTGGGTCTTTCATTAGGTGATAATCAATTGTCTTTGACTTTTTGATATCTGGTTGTTGGCAAAGTAGGAAAATTGTTGGATGGATGCACTAAAGTTTTTTATGTCGAAAGGGAGAAGATTGACATTAGCATATCCAATATTTCCCAGTATTCTCTTTTTGACTTGTCAGTAAGGTGGCAAAGAAAATTGGGAAGATGATGAGGGATCTCTTGTAGGAAAGGAGTGGAGAATAGAAAAAAATCATTTGGTTAATTGGGAGTTGTTTTCTAAATCAAGAGATGAGGCTGGCCTCTTGGTAGTAAATTTGTTAGCAAGAAATGTGGCATTACTTGGGAATTGTGCAATCTTAGCCATTATATGGGTTTTGTGATTGGAAAGTAATTCGATAATTTTTTAAGAGAAATTGAGAGGGCGGAATGATTTGGGAATATGATTTCCAAACTTTATAGAGAGGTTTTGCCTCAAGTTTTCTAGTTTTTTGAGCAAAATCAATTCTGAACTCTGAACTTCGAATTTGTGGAGAAGAAAAGTAGCATAAGGAAGTTCTGTGGGTCAAACTTATATGAATCTTGCTTATTTGAAATAGTTTCTTTTTGCTTTCGTTTATATTAACTATGTAATATAGAAGATAAGCATATGAGTTAAGCTGCTGTTGTAATAATACACAAAGATATGACATATCAATCAAGAAAAACATCCATTGATGGACATAAACAATTAATGAGCCGATGCTGATGCTTCCTAGCTAGCTACTTCCAGCATGGATTGCATGTATCAAGAGCCTCATTTAGGACCAATAAAGAACATTCCAGGCTCTCAAATATTAAAAAAGGCTTGTGTAAATTTTTTTGGGTCAAAGATGTAACATGCCTTCCTGGCCAATATGCGAAAACTATTGAGACTGGAGTGGGAGAGTCGAAAAGAGGAATACATATGACCTATACAAATTTTCATCCCACTAATTTGGCATGTTTGAAAGGTATGTAATGTCTGGTTTTGTTTGANTCAAATTGTAGGTCTCAAAAATATTATTCAAGTATTAAACTACTCCTAGTGTAAGTCCGCCACTGCCTGCAATCGATTAATTTCTCTATAATTCTTAATGAAAAATCAAGGGGGTACATTCAAGACAACTAGAGGTCTTATGTTGGGTGATCGGGATCCCTAAGTTCCTTTTCTTTTTTCATTATTTGTGGTGTGTATTTTTATCTTATGAGGATGATCAAATATTTTTGAATTTTAAGTATATTTTGGATGTTTTTGGTTTGAAAATTAAAAATGGCATGGAGGTTTATGTTGTTATCAATTCTCATCATGATAAGTTTGCAAGCTTGGCTGCAACATTGGGATATTTTGTGGGTAAGTGACCTTTGAGGTACTTGGGTCTTTCATTAGGTGATAATCAATTGTCTTTGACTTTTTGATATCTGGTTGTTGGCAAAGTAGGAAAATTGTTGGATGGATGCACTAAAGTTTTTTATGTCGAAAGGGAGAAGATTGACATTAGCATATCCAATATTTCCCAGTATTCTCTTTTTGACTTGTCAGTAAGGTGGCAAAGAAAATTGGGAAGATGATGAGGGATCTCTTGTAGGAAAGGAGTGGAGAATAGAAAAAAATCATTTGGTTAATTGGGAGTTGTTTTCTAAATCAAGAGATGAGGCTGGCCTCTTGGTAGTAAATTTGTTAGCAAGAAATGTGGCATTACTTGGGAATTGTGCAATCTTAGCCATTATATGGGTTTTGTGATTGGAAAGTAATTCGATAATTTTTTAAGAGAAATTGAGAGGGCGGAATGATTTGGGAATATGATTTCCAAACTTTATAGAGAGGTTTTGCCTCAAGTTTTCTAGTTTTTTGAGCAAAATCAATTCTGAACTCTGAACTTCGAATTTGTGGAGAAGAAAAGTAGCATAAGGAAGTTCTGTGGGTCAAACTTATATGAATCTTGCTTATTTGAAATAGTTTCTTTTTGCTTTCGTTTATATTAACTATGTAATATAGAAGATAAGCATATGAGTTAAGCTGCTGTTGTAATAATACACAAAGATATGACATATCAATCAAGAAAAACATCCATTGATGGACATAAACAATTAATGAGCCGATGCTGATGCTTCCTAGCTAGCTACTTCCAGCATGGATTGCATGTATCAAGAGCCTCATTTAGGACCAATAAAGAACATTCCAGGCTCTCAAATATTAAAAAAGGCTTGTGTAAATTTTTTTGGGTCAAAGATGTAACATGCCTTCCTGGCCAATATGCGAAAACTATTGAGACTGGAGTGGGAGAGTCGAAAAGAGGAATACATATGACCTATACAAATTTTCATCCCACTAATTTGGCATGTTTGAAAGGTATGTAATGTCTGGTTTTGTTTGAAGAAAGTGACTACTCTCATACCGGGAGAAATTATTTACTTCCAAAAAAAAAAAAAAGGTGATACCCTCAAACCAAGTCACATTTTCACTCTTGGTAGACAATGTTCTTGCACAAAATGATGAAATAACTCCTACCCGCCATTTTTTCCAGAACCAAGGGTAATCCTGGCTGAATTACTGATGCAAGCAACTGGTCTTCTAGTGATTGGAAGCTTCCTGACTCACATAATAGAACAAGAAACTATGATTACTCCATTCAAGATCGGGGATAAGAGGAAGATATTTGAGCCATAATTAGTACCTTTGTTTTTTAATGCCCCAAAATGAAATGCTTATAAATTATTCAACCCTAAAAAACTGTTCTAAGGAAGGACTACAGGCATCAATCACTGCATGATTTCATTTTTTTTTTCTCCAGAATGTGTACTGGACTGAAAGATGATGATGAAGATTCACTTGTTAAACCTGTACCTAATTGTGCCAAAAATACTCAATTGAATGACTAACTACTTTAAATGTGGTTAGAGATGCAATTTAAGCTAAAAATGATTTAGAGGACAAATCATAAGTCATCGATTATTAGTAGCATTTTTGCTTAGAGCAAAAGCTTCACACTTTCATTTCATTGCATATGATGGTAGATATTCTCTTGATTCCTTATTTACTTGAAAGCAGAGGCTTTACGGTTTTGTCACGTGCTTGGCTGCTGGTATAGCTTGTACTCTCTTGGTAAGTATGAACTCCAAATGCTTAAAGTCATTATATTTTTGGCTTGTTTGTAACTCGTCACGAATTTTCCTTTTCAATGGTCTGTTTTCTCTTGGGGTGTCGGTACTAATGGAAGAAGAATCTGTTGTTTGAACGTCAGTCCTTTATGATTTTTACACGGACTATTAGTTAAGAGAATTCGTTGTAAAATTGGAAATGTTATGTTAACCACTGATAGACTACCTTGATTGCTAGTTCTAAAAAACTAGACACAAAGAAAGACTTGTACTTTCTACGTCCTATTTTTGTGGTTGGACTTTTCTTTTGTCAACCTTCCCATTATTGGTGTGCACTTTTGAAATTCAAGATACAAAACTTGTAATTTTTTTAGTTTATTTATTTATCATTGTAGTAATTTTGAGAAATGGCCATGGCCAACTATGAAACGTACTGTTTGTCTGCTTGCTAAAGTTGGAATATGAAAAATGAATTAATACTTTGGGATTTTGAAGAGAAACCTAAATATAAGCAATGCTATTCTAAAGAACCAATGATTGTATCATGCTCAAAAGCAGCAGCACAAAAAAACAATGTTTTGTTACCATTGTCTGGAGTTGGCGAACGATGATACATGTTTTGGCTAATTCTTAGTAGTTTACATCTCCTCCATCTCATCATAGTCTTTTATTTATTTTATTTTTTTAATTAAGGGAGAACAATGAAAGGATAGTAGTATGAGAAAAGAGGTAGAAATTTGAGGATAGAGTATTCTCAAGGAAAAGTAATAATAGAGTAAAATACAAAAAAGAAGAAAAAGAACAAGAACCCTAAAGGACCACCGGCTCCTAATTTCATTGAAAATCCAACAAAGATGTTAAGATTGTAGTTATATTTATTTATCATTTGGGGTAGTCTCATCTTTTTGTTATTTTAGGGTTTAATATATTCTGCCCCTGTACATAATTTTGATTACTATGCTATATTAGAGTATCAGACTTCTTTCTCTCCTATTCTTCTATGATGTCTGCTCTTTTTTGCAAGTTTGATGTAAGTTTTCAAAAGGCATTCCTCCAAAATTCCCAATTGCTTGGTTTATAAAGAAGGAAGAAACTACATTCTTTCCCATATAAATCGAAAGGAAAGAACGATCATTGAAATTTCTTGCATTCCATTTTAACCAAGATACACCAAAAAGTTGTCATCATCGCACAATTCCTAAGGACCTCAGCTTCCTTATTCTTTACAAAACTCAAAGACTTAATCTGCAACAGTTTCTCCACTGCTAAAGGACAAATCTAAACAGCTAAACCTGCCCATCACATTGAACAAACTATTGCACAAACTCCAAGCAAAAGAGCAATGAATGACCAAATGAAACCTCCAAGCAAAAGAACAACTGATGAATAAGTGAGCATTTGGCTCTCCACTTCAAACAAATTAAGCAAGTATCGAGAATCAAAGCTTTATAAGCCCTCTTCACTTGTAACAAAGTGTTAGTATTCATCCTATTAACAACTACATGGCAACCATAAATGCATGTGTTATTAACGATATACTAAGTGCCTAAAATTTTTTTTTATCAAGGAGGCATGCCAATGTGTTTGTCATTGTCTTAAATTTTTAGGATTGTAGAATCAAAAAGAAGTCTGTAGAAGTTAAGTGAATACATTAAGACGATTAGAACCCAAGTTGTGTTGTTACAACCATGATCAACGCTTTCTAAATGCTACTATAAACATCAAGACAGGTTTGAGAGGTAAGTTTTACTTATCCCAAGCTGACTTGTGGAATAAGAAGAAAAGTTTAGGATACCAATCTATAATCTGATGCTCATAAAATATGTTCCCAAAGATATTAGATGGACACTAAGCTAACCTCTAGGTGGCTGCAGATGGATGTAGGAGCAATTATAGGACCAAAAATTTTGGGTGCGTGTTATTAATGATCAATTTTGTCTTCCATGGCATCTTCTCTAGATTGAGGATTTTTGCATAGGTTTGCTCTGAAAAATGTACTTTTGGGTTTTTATGTGTATGGTTGTGGAATTTCATATTTTGGGTTCTTGTATATGTCTTTTTCCCTTGGTCTTTTGCTCCCTTGCGCCACATGGTGTTCTCCTTATCAAAAAGAACAATGAAGAATTAAAGGACTCTTAGATTGGTGTGCTATTGCAATAGATATTATTAGCCAGTGTACTAATTTGCTTTTTTTTTTTTTCTATTTGTCAGTCAATGCTTGTTTTCTTCAATCCAATCAAGTTTGGAATAACATTTTCCTTTGGCAATTTGCTTGCACTCGGAAGGTTTGTGTTTAGATTCTATATTGAATGCTTCATGTCATTCTATCTCGTTTTAGTAATTATATATGTAAGTTTGAGCTATAATTTAATAATCCAAATATTGATATTAACCTTGATGTCTGCTATTTTCTTCTATGTAACAAATGCCTCGTAGACTTTTTGATGTTTTTTTTGTTGGTGTCTTTTGACTATTTCTTTTGGTGATTGGACATCGGGTACCAGGGAATCTTGTGTTGAATCACTGTGTTTTCAACTAATGTTCTTTCTTTGTCTGGGAGATACCCCACCCACCCACACACACACACCCCACCCCCATCCAAAAATAGAAAACCACAATAAAAAAAAGGAACAGCAACTCTGATAAAATTGTATGGGGTGAAGACATGCAATGTGGATGAGTTTCCTCGATCTTCACTTTAAGCTCTTCTTGTTTCAAGTGGGAACGATTCCTAACATTCTCTTATAATCTTTTTTATTTTCAGGATGCATCTGTGTCACTGGACATATCGTAATGAAGTTTGGGAGAAATATTTATTTCCTAAACTCAAACAAGTTCTATGAGTGTGTCAAGAATTTCTGTTTTTGCTCAAAAGAATCTTCCCTTGATAATTTTCCACTGCAACATACCAAGCCCTTGACTTCGTAATATATAGTGGCATAAAAAACTTTGGAATTTGATTTTATATCTCTAACTAATTGTTGCTGTGCAGTTAATTCTTATGTACATTGCTCTGTCTAGTGCCATTCTTCTTAAGGCTAACTTCTCATTCCTCAAATCTTTGATGATGTCAATCTTAGCCTTCCTTGTATCCTTGGCAGATTGTAGTGACTAATTCTTCAATTACCTCATTCTGTGCTATATTTATTATCTGCTGCTCTTTCTGTTTGGCCTTAACTTATTGCCATTGGTAATCCTTATAGGATTACTTTCCTGTCTTGCTGCATTCGTCTAAATTCATCACATTCTGCTTCAAAGAAAAAGTTACTATCACTGACCTTTTCTTTTTATTGATCACCCGAATTTATATTGTACCATGAACACCCAAATTTCATTATAGTTTTCCCTGTGTCTAGTTGTACTTAAAATAAATTTGTTCTGGCTCTTATAGAGATGTCTAATTCATTAATAACTGATTACAAGGAAAGTATTAATAGAGAATTTGGACCCGCATCAAGTTTCCTCTCTTTTTCCTTAAAATCTGGTAGAAAGTAGTCATTTCCTTCCATTGGGATTTGTGGAAAGTCGTTCCTTTCTGTTGGGATTTGTGGGAACCTTTCTTTGTATATTAGTTTACACTTCTCTCAATCTCTGACTGTTTGTGTAGTTCAGATGCTAAGCTTGAGGCTTTTCTATGGCAGCACAGCATTCCTAATAGGCCCCAAACGGCAAGTGACAATGATGCTTGACCCTGTTCGTATTTATGCAACTGCCATATATCTTGCAAGCATTATCGTTGCGCTGTTTTGTGCTCTTTATGTGAGTTACCTTATGCTTTCTTTCAATTCTTTATCCTGCTTCCTACCAAGCGGTACGCAATACATGTCCGTTTACATGTTATACTTTCTCGATCATTGCATCAGGTGAGAAACAAGCTATTGACACTTTTGGCCATTATGTTGCAGTTTGGCGCTCTTATATGGTATGTCAAGCAATAATGAATTAAATTCCATCTTTATTAATCTCTTCCATAAACTGGTTTGCAAATGGGGAACACCAGTTGGACTTGCTACCTGATATGGCNCTCTTCTTGTTTCAAGTGGGAACGATTCCTAACATTCTCTTATAATCTTTTTTATTTTCAGGATGCATCTGTGTCACTGGACATATCGTAATGAAGTTTGGGAGAAATATTTATTTCCTAAACTCAAACAAGTTCTATGAGTGTGTCAAGAATTTCTGTTTTTGCTCAAAAGAATCTTCCCTTGATAATTTTCCACTGCAACATACCAAGCCCTTGACTTCGTAATATATAGTGGCATAAAAAACTTTGGAATTTGATTTTATATCTCTAACTAATTGTTGCTGTGCAGTTAATTCTTATGTACATTGCTCTGTCTAGTGCCATTCTTCTTAAGGCTAACTTCTCATTCCTCAAATCTTTGATGATGTCAATCTTAGCCTTCCTTGTATCCTTGGCAGATTGTAGTGACTAATTCTTCAATTACCTCATTCTGTGCTATATTTATTATCTGCTGCTCTTTCTGTTTGGCCTTAACTTATTGCCATTGGTAATCCTTATAGGATTACTTTCCTGTCTTGCTGCATTCGTCTAAATTCATCACATTCTGCTTCAAAGAAAAAGTTACTATCACTGACCTTTTCTTTTTATTGATCACCCGAATTTATATTGTACCATGAACACCCAAATTTCATTATAGTTTTCCCTGTGTCTAGTTGTACTTAAAATAAATTTGTTCTGGCTCTTATAGAGATGTCTAATTCATTAATAACTGATTACAAGGAAAGTATTAATAGAGAATTTGGACCCGCATCAAGTTTCCTCTCTTTTTCCTTAAAATCTGGTAGAAAGTAGTCATTTCCTTCCATTGGGATTTGTGGAAAGTCGTTCCTTTCTGTTGGGATTTGTGGGAACCTTTCTTTGTATATTAGTTTACACTTCTCTCAATCTCTGACTGTTTGTGTAGTTCAGATGCTAAGCTTGAGGCTTTTCTATGGCAGCACAGCATTCCTAATAGGCCCCAAACGGCAAGTGACAATGATGCTTGACCCTGTTCGTATTTATGCAACTGCCATATATCTTGCAAGCATTATCGTTGCGCTGTTTTGTGCTCTTTATGTGAGTTACCTTATGCTTTCTTTCAATTCTTTATCCTGCTTCCTACCAAGCGGTACGCAATACATGTCCGTTTACATGTTATACTTTCTCGATCATTGCATCAGGTGAGAAACAAGCTATTGACACTTTTGGCCATTATGTTGCAGTTTGGCGCTCTTATATGGTATGTCAAGCAATAATGAATTAAATTCCATCTTTATTAATCTCTTCCATAAACTGGTTTGCAAATGGGGAACACCAGTTGGACTTGCTACCTGATATGGCCCCCATCACTTGAGGAAAAATGCACTCCTAATGTGCAAAATCACAAAAAAAAAAAACTAATTAACTAACCTATGATTTAGCATGGATGTTGAGCTATAAGGTTCTCCTCACGCACTCTCAAAACTGACCTCATTTTGTGCAATATTCTGCTATAGTTTTGCTCCCGTTGTCTCTACTTTGACAGGTCATGGTTTTTCATTAATAGTTTTATCTCCCTTTCTATTATTACAGGTATAGCTTGAGCTACATCCCTTTTGCAAGATCCATGGTTTCCAATGTCATGGCAGCTTGTTTTGACACTGAATTTTAGGGTGATGTACACAGATTTACACATGCAACTATTGTAGAGAATATTAATTCGGTAGATGAAAATCTGAGTTTTCTGTAAGGTCAGTACAACATAATTGCATCAGTACGGTTTCATGCATATGGAATTATGTTGCGGGATCAACTTTTGATTCTTTTTATTTTTATATATTTAGGCTAATTTTCTGTTACTTCTTTTTCTACCTTCTGGGCTGTGATGAACAGAACTGTGTATTGAGATATTTTGCTATTTTGAACTACATGAAAGACCTAGGAGATTTGAACTGTTTTTAAGGTCCATGCATTGGAATAAGAATGCAAAAGTGCAAGCGCAGCTTCTTAGTCCTAACAAAGAAATTATCCAATCCATCCGGAAATCTGCACCATCCAGACTATTTACGGAGACATATACTTGGTGACTCGTTGTCATATACTAATTTTGTAGAGATGTATTGAGGTAGCGTTTGATATGTTTTAAGTATTCTTTTTATCTTTCTAGTATGTTTTTAAATAAGCTTTGCATTTTTCGGACATCCGGGTTTTCTCCATTCATCTAAACTTAAGTGCATGTGTTTATATCTGTATTGTTGATACTATATAATAAAGTAGTTTATAATTCAAATTTTAAAAGATAAATAAAATGATTTTGATTTTTTGCGGTTCAGATCGCTTTAAATTTTATTTTGAAGTTAATCTAATGATTAATATTAACACCTTAAATTTAATAGAAAAAATAGGCTTAAGTGTGTGACCACCACTGTTGTCATCGATGCGGTTGCCATCGCCATCGTGCCACCGCCACCGTCACTAGCACCACTATCATCGCCATCGCCACCACCGCCGTTGCCGTCGTCGCCGCCACTATCACCGTCGTCGCCGTTGCTACCACTATCACCACCATTACCATCGCCGCCACCACCACCATAACCATCGTCGTCGTCGTTACCACCGCCGCCACCACGATCATTACCACTCACTACAATCATCACTGTCTCCTACCACCACCATTGCCGTCCACTACTTCTCACTCCCACTACAAACCGATGCTTAAATTTATTTTATCTCTCTTCTATGTTTGTGATTTGATTTTAGATATATATATATATAAATATGTTTATTTTTTACCATTTTTTATTACTCTGTGCCTTCAGACACAAACAATAACTAGTATTAAAATATAGATCACTGTTGTTGAATTGTAATTGCACAGGTAAAAATTTGGTAAGCATAAAGAATGTAGAGATTTGCCTCGTTCGTGAGCTGCAAAACCAAAACAAGTATAGAGGTCTACCTCGGAGTTGAGCCGGGGGAAGCTATTGGGATCAACCACTGGATAAGCAAAGTATAAGAAACAAGAACAATGATCAGGAACACAAGGGTGTGCGCGTGTGGTAAAGTCTATAACAGACAATTTTATCTCAAGTACTTCGTACGATACACAAAATTTATAATTTTTTTCTTCTATTGCCTTGCTAGTAAACTCTACCTAACCTTAATATTACTTGGCAATTACCTAATAATTTGTAGAATGATATTTTTTTCAAAATTTGAAATAGTTAAAAAATGCGATTGAAAATTTAAAGTTAAATTAGTTTAAAAAAGTGGTGAGAGTAGTTACAAAACAAACACTTATTAATTTGAAATTAAGCATTTTTGGAGGAAAGTTTTCTCATGGTCGATCCTCCCTATTTTGATTGTTTTAAACATATAAATAAATTTTTGACATACAAATGAGGTTCTTGTCACTCCACCACTCCCCTGAAATTCTTAGCCCCTTTGGGATGCATGCCAATCACATTTGTTGCAAAGTCACTTTTGTCATCATATATTTTGTCCCTCTGGTAATTAAACATTTTTTACTTTCCTTGCCAATTTCTTTTTTATTTTAAAAATTCATCAAAACAAGTGTCACTAAAGGGGTGCATTAGTGTGTGACACTGGTGTCGCATTTTTCCCTATTGTGCTGCACATGGGAGCCGATTGACTCTTCGCCGGTTTATGAGTTCAGGAGGGCTTGTTGGCTTGGCTTGCCAGAATGTCATATTGGGCTTGCATATCAAGTGTTCAACGAAAATACTGAATGTTTCGCATGAAAATATGAAATATTCTTAAATCACTCGTGATTTCAACAAAAATAACGCTTCTTAGAAAAATAAGTAGCTTCCACCCGTAGATGAAAATAGACATCGTGAATTGTTGAGGGATGAAGACTTGGCATTAAGATGAAAAGAAAACAGTGGTTTTGAGATTGGTAGGAGGATGAGTAAGCTCTCGGATCAAAAACACAAGATTACCACGAAGTGACGAGATGAATCGACAACAAATACACAGTTCGAAGAATCCATTATTCTCCTCCATAAAAAGTTTCTTCAGAAGCCCTTTCATAAAATCTGACGACCAAATTATCAAACTGTTATGTGAAAATGGATATTACAATCCAAAAACACATTGCTCTCGAGTCTCGACTTTTAAAAACTTTATGCAAAAACTCTTTGATCAAATATTATCAATGGAAATCAATGAGGCCGTTTCCCTCTCTCTTCCCCCCACCCCCCTTTTTCCCCATTTCATAGACAATTTATCAGTATTGCACATAGTGTATTCAATTCACGAACTAATTCTATGTCGTAAAACAGAGCTATATTATACAAAATAACATACAAAAACATCATGGGCTAAAATCACTGTTTAAATACCTTTCATACCCTATGTTCCCACTCTATTGAGCATTCTGTGTTGCACGATTTTCTTGCCGAGTGGATTCTGCATAAACTTGGCCTTGGTCTCTTACATCTCTAAATATAGAAAGAAATGAATTGAGGCCCTCAGAAGAAGCCCCCCCTAAGATCCACAACAACAAGGAACTAAACGAATTCATGGCCCCAGGATTGGCACCAGTTTCTGCTTGGCGGAGCTCAGGTTGTCCTGCAATTTGGAGAGAATTGCCTAACCTATCAGGGTTGTTGCTCTCAGATCGTTCTTGAAGTCCAGAAAGTTCTGCTGCAGTATTTCTTGGTATTGCTGGATCAGGCAAGACTCTAAGCCCAGGTGCAGAGGTCAAATCTGTATTAACTGGAACTGGGTTCCTCGTGTTTAATCTTGTGATATGCAACGTCGAGGCAAGAATAGTAGAGGAAGTAATGTGAAAATCTGGGTGTTGCTGAAAAGATGACCGCCGGTTTTGCATAAACCTCTGGAGAGCTGGAACCTGAGAAGATTGCAGCACAGAAATTAAGTGACTAAAAATCTAAGAAAAACAATTAAGAAGAATGGTTGGCTAACAAAAGGATGAGATCACTTCAAGCCAGAAACATTCTGGTTGGGTCACAGCTATAACCCATCTTCCCCTATGACTTTACTACCAGAAATGACTGAAATATCCCAATGCCATGGTGGCTTTTTGACAGAAATTCTATCTGTGAAAAAATTCTTTCGGGTAGAAATGATCAACCCATGGTAATCTAGATAACTAAAAAAATTGGATGACAAGACGACTTTTTAGGTTTCGAAACAAAATTTAACTATGTAATTTTTTTCTATGGTGGAAGATATTAATAACATTTGATTGGAAAATAAAATTTCTCATCTCCCCCTCACCCACAGGCCCACACCTACCAATGAGGCAAATGAGACAAACTGTAATCTTAACTGTAGATCAAGAAACCAAATCCAAACTAATCAAGTGATCATGCTTTCCTTACCTGCTTCCTTCCCAAAGGAAATCCCTCATCATATGATCAATTTTACTGGCGACCTTGCATGGCATCTTAAAAAAAGACATGAATCAAATGAAAATGCCATCCAGCACAAACTGAATTAAAGTCTCCCTCTTTTAGAAAGGAAAAGCTCTCCCCCATCCATCCAATGTCTCCCAATTTTCTCCACAACTATATCCAAAAACTTAAAGCCATGAGACCTTGTGGAAGCCCAAAATTCTTCAAGGCCCACATTCCAACATAGCATCCTTAAGGAAGCACGGATATGGATACGGGATATAAATATAATATGATATGTCAAGATCTAAAGAATAGGATACAGAGAAGTATGTCTATGAGATTATATATTTTATATTTTTACTACTATCCAACGACTTCATAGTTATAATTTTCAATAGATTCTTTAAGAACAATATAAAAATATAAAAATTTTACTCCCAAAGAGGTATAAATCATCTCACTATGATATATCCACAAAATGAATTTGACTAATAAAAGAATTGAAGCCAACATTTAACTAGTTAGTTGGCTTAAAAATACTTCTTACCAAGACATATTGTAATCAAACCATTTTATGCTCTTTTGACATTTAATAGTAGAAAATACTACTCATGCTTCTTCAAATTGCATCTTAATATAAATTTAAGAGGAAAAGGCAAAGATTGAAATAAAAAATCTCTGCTCCGCATATTCACTTCCATTTCCAAAATATGATCACTTTGGACACGTATCCGCTAGTATCCATAAATTTGACATTTTAGTGGATATGTGTGGCGTATATCCGATACATATTCTTGAATATCCAACAATTACTGTATGCGATACAGTATCCGATACAAATATATTGCCCTTAACAAAATATCCGTATTTCATAGAGCATCTTAAGAACTCCGCAAGTCTTTCGATCTTATTTTGTTGAACAATCCATTTTCGTTGTCAATACTATTTTCCATATATGAAAATAAGCTCTGAAATAACCACAAATACTTTCAAAATATTCAAAACAAAAAAATGGTCTTCCCTGGTTGAAAAGAAATTAGTATTTTCAACAAATTGCAAATGAGAAATTGAAATCTTATCTCTACCAATATCAAAACCTTCGACCAAACTATACCTTGGTGCCCTACCAACTAATCCACACAACCCTCGGCCACTAAAGTGAAAAGAGAAGATGCTAAATGATCAACCTGGCACAAAACCCTAGAAGCCTTAACCCTTTCTCTTGGCTTCCCCATTCAGTGACACTGAAAAATTCTTCAAGCATAAATACTCAGTTATCCACTTCATCATTTGCCTCCAAAATCTTTTATTTCCAGAACAAACCCATAAAATCCCTCTCAATATGATCATAAGTTTATTTTTTCAAAATCGATTTAACAACAATCCCTTCCTTTCCCGTTGACCTAAACTCTTCCACCACTTAATTTGTTACAAGAGCAACATCTAAAGTTGGTTGTAACCAAACTAATTGGTATATAATTTTTAATGAGTTTTCATTTTCAAACGTATTTCATAGATTATTATGCATCCAATTGGTTGTTCCGCAGCATAATAGTAGTAACTGCTGGTTCTCATAGAAAACATGCATCAACTGGCACATGTCGATACCTAAAATCTCCAAGAAATTAGTCTCCCAAAAGTGATACAGCATATGATCAATGATTATAAAAGGCGAATTATGTCACCTCAAATCGGTTCCAGAAGTAGAGGATGAGATGCTGCATAAATGCTGCGGTCGTAGAGAGAGCAAGATAAGAAAAACCTGGAAAAAGGTTGGAGCACCACTTAAAATAAAGAGAAATGTGTTAAGTTTAAACTTTCAAAAATATAGACAATAAGGCCATACCATGAGTGTACGAAAAGAAATAGATGTGAAACACCAGAAAATAGAGCAAAAAAAACCGAGGAAAGAACTTCATTGATATTGGTGTGCGGACACTGCAAGCAAATAAAAAGCACAGTTATATCAGAAGAGCAAGTGTGTGCAAAGGATTGCATATGTTGGACACCAACACTATGTTGCATATGGGTGTGTATGTATTACTCAAGGCAGAAAAGTAAACCCAAACCATAACTAATTCAGATGAGTACCAATTATTAGAGCATCAAACTAAAAATTAATTGGCAATGAGAGGAGGGCCCCTTAACCTTGGGTAATCCTAATCATTTGATATGATATAGGTTCTCTTTACACCCTCCTTAATGTGCGACCCGTGCTTGCACATAGGGCTAACAAACCAACATGCATAATGAAAAATGAAAAATTGGTAAGAGACTTGGTCCACTGACCAAACAAGGCCCAACACTGATACCATGTTAGAACATACAACTCAAAACCAATTGACAATGACTAAAGGGCCCCTGAAGTATATAAACTAACTTTGGTGATCCTACTCATTCAATATGGAATACAAGCTCTCTTTACACCAAATCCACTTCATTCATACAAATATCTCTATCAAGTTTTAAAAGGATTCCAAAGTTCACTTATCCATAGAATTTTCAAAAACTTCTCTACAATTATTTTTTATTTTTGGTGTGTACCAGTATGGGATGGGGTTTCAAACTGCAATTCTATCCCAGTTACAGTGTTTCCATTCTTGCAATTCTTTCCCAGTCATGAAAGCACATCTTCCTTCAATGAAAGGTCCTTCTGTGTCTTGTATAATCACAGGTGTTAAACCCATGGGCACCTTGTTACATACCCACTTCAAATTTTGGTATCTGCCTGACTGTTTCTATATGGCCAAACTGTCCCTAGTTCAATTAATACCCCACTCAAAATCATCCCAATAAAAGACAAGAGTAGTGAATCCCTCTGGTCCGGTAGATTTCCATCCCTATTACCCAAAATAACATCAACACATTTATGATACATTAAGAGAGAGAGAGAGACCTGATCAATGTAAATAGTTCACACAGCCAAACAAGAATCAAGACCATGAAAGCCAATAGCTGGTCATCATAGAACTCAAACAAAAAAAACAGGATACCAATCATAATCTGCAAAGCAAACATAAAATTAGTTTAGAAAAGCCCAAAAGTTAATAACATAGAGGCAAATTACAGATTACCACTCTTGGGTCGTCCCTGAAACAAATTAACTCCATATAATGTGAAAACAAAGGCATAAACCCTATGGCTTTGGGCTAATTGGAACCGTAAGGTTTTCCCTCCCAATTAATAGGAATTGTTTATCTTATCAACGTACTTCCTAAACAAATTACCATTTTACATACTTTGAAACTATTTACTAAACTAAGGCACTTTTTTGAAAGCATGTTACAAAACACGATTTCTTTGTATAAGTATGTTTACTAAACACGTTTTGAAGGGATATTGGACTTAGTAGCTATAAACAAGTTTTTGGAATACGATGTATATATATTTGAGTGTCATAAACGCGCTTTTATTATAATTAATGTACTATCTTTATGGGATCTTACGATTCAATTTTATCAGTGGCTTGCTTAATTCAAGAAGATTCCTTTCCCAAAGAGCTCATGGTACAGATATGGCGAAAGCGTACCTTTCTTTGTTGTACCTTGTGTTGCTTCTGAGTGCAGACTTAAGTTGTTTTCTAAATGCACTAAGGAAGAAAAAAGGACTAAAAAAAATGAGACAATGAAAGTGTGTTTGTTAATTATAAACCACGCTTTCATCTAAAAGCGTGTTTGGTAACCATGTTTTTTTAATAAAAGCATGGTTCATAACCACGCTTTGGTTTTTTTAGACCCTCTTTATTTTGTATCTACTGACATTGAAAACGTGTTTAAAATACACTTTTTTTTTGTTGAAAGTGTGTATTAAACATGCTTTTAAAAAGTTTCGTAGTTAGGTAATGAAGTTTGAAACAACGGTATGGCGGTAAATATGTTTTGAAAACATGTTATAGCTATAATAAACTCCAACAAATTAATAGAATATGTAAAAATAATTTGATTTATCGTGCATCCAAACGGCACTCTTTCCTTATTTAGATGAAGTTAACCTTTATTCCTTAATTAGACAAAACTCTACCTATAACCAAACAACGTACTCTCTCTCTCTCTCTCTCTCTCTCTCTCTCGCACACACATCCACGCTCATGCACATCTCTTGACTGGAGAAGTGTTCCAAACAGTTTCGTAGAGAGACCTCGTGATCTCAGCAGATTGTTGACAAATTACCAGTCAACCCTTCAGAAAATTACTATCATTGCAATAGAACCCACTTTAGTTCCAATTGATTCTGGAAGTGAAATTGACAGGAGGCTGTTAAACTTACATAGACCCAACCAGAAGTAGATTAGGTCAATTTTCTTTCTTTTCCCTGCTTAGAGAGAGACAACGCAAGAGCACTGGTGTACACAATTTTAGGTGTTAGGCTCAGCCTTTGGGTCCTTTGTTACTCTCTGGGAGGATGGGAGGAGGAAAGGGACTGCTAATGGAGGTGAAAAAGTGGTAAGAGATACATATATGTGGGTTTATCTTATGAGTACTAGATATATTGTCTCATTCTTCAGTCTCCTCCTATCCCTATATCTTTCTTTTTTCTCGTAGATCCTAATCTTCTAGCTTCAATCTTCTTTTTATTTGCATAAAATATTGATCTGAGGTAAATATGGTTGCTTTTCAATCCAAAACTAAGAAGCGCGGACACGGGACACTGATACTAACGATACGGACACATGGATGCGATATTTCTCTAAAAATTAGAACACGGACACGTGGAGGATGCATTGAAAAAAATATTTATATTATTATTGTTAATGCCAGGAGTTTACAGATTGGTCAAATTTATTTTTTTTCATAACAATTTGGCCCAAATATGTGTAATTTTACTATTCATTAGATGTGGATTCATAGTAGCCCAAGTATAACTCAAATATAGTTGAAAAAATAAAGCTCATTAGCCAAATAAAATCCAAAACAAAGGTTTGCTTTTGTATTTCAAGCCCATGAACCAATTGTATAGTTTCATTTAACTGCCACCGCTTAGAATCATTTGAGTTGATAAAGAAAATCTGGTAGAGCCTTTAATCAACCGCCACATTGCATTAAAGGATAAGGATGAACAAGTGACAACTAAGAAGACGAGGCCATCATTCTTAGTTTTTGTTCCGCCTCAAACGTCGGAGACAAGAACCCTCCCCCCCCCCCCCCCCCCT